CAGTAAAAAGAGGGCGACTAAATTACCACCTCATCGTCCAGGGGATTGCGCGATAAATCTCCAGGTAGGAGCTGCACTTCCCCGGAGTCACGTGTATCCTTTGTCTCAGGAGGAGAGGGCGGCTATGGAGACATATGTCACAGAGTCTCTGAGACAGGGATACATTCGGCCATCCACTTCACCTGTCTCCTCAAGTTTATTTTTTGTGAAGAAGAAGGATGGTGGTTTACGCCAGTGCATTGATTACCGTGTCTTAAATCAGATTACCATCAAGTACAGCTATCCATTACCCCTGACAGCTAGTATGACGGAATCATAGCACGGGGCACGCTTCTTCACAAAATTGGATCTCAGGAGCGCGTACAACCTAGTGCGTATCCGGGAGGGAGATGAGTGGAAGACGGCATTTAGTACCACCTCTGGACAGTATGAGTATCTTGTCATGCCATACGGGTTAATGAATGCTCCATCAGTCTTCCAATCACTTGTGGATGAGATTTTCAGGGACCTGCACGGACAAGGGGTAGTGGTGTATATTGATGACATACTTATATACTCCACTACAAGGGCCGAGCATGTGTCCCTGGTGCGTAAAGTACTTGAAAGACTGTTGGAGCATGACCTGTATGCTAAAGCAGAGAAATGCCTGTTCTTTCAGGAGTCCATCTCCTTCCTAGGGTACCACATGTCCGCGTCTGGGGTGAGGATGGAGAGTGACCTCGTTTCGGCCGTGCGTAATTGGGCGACTCCAACCACGGTAAAGGAGGTGCAGCGTTTCTTGGGGTTTGCCAACTACTATCGGAGGTTTATCCGGGGCTTTGGTTAGGTAGCGGCTCCCATTACCTCGTTGCTGAAGGGGGGACCGGTGCGTCTGCGGTGGTCAGCTGAGGCAGACAGGGCTTTTAGTCGCCTGAAGGATCTGTTTACCTCGGCTCCAGTGCTGGCTCATCCGGATCCCTCCTTGGTCTTCACGGTTGAGGTGGACGCATCCGAGGCTGGGATAGGCGCTGTACTTTCTCAGCGCTCGGGCACGCCACCCAAGCTCCGCCCCTGTGCTTTCTTTTCAAAGAAGCTCAGCCCGGCGGAGCGCAACTATGATGTGGGGGACCGGGAGTTGTTGGCGGTGGTCAAAGCCCTGAAAGCGTGGAGACATTGGCTTTAGGGGGCTAAACACCCTTTTCTCATTTTGACTGACCACCGCAATCTGGAGTACATCCGAGCGGCGAAGAGGTTAAACCCTCGCCAGGCAAGGTGGTCCATGTTTCTAACCCGTTTTGTTTTCACCCTTTCTTACAGGCCGGGCTCCCAGAATGCTAAGGCAGATGCTCTGTCCCGACTATATGACACGGAGGAGAGTTCCGTGGAGCCCACTCCCATAATTCCGGCGTCGTGTTTGGTGGCACCGGTGGTGTGGGAGGTTGACGCGGACATCGAGCGGGCGTTACGTAGTGAACCCTCTCCTCCCCAGTGTCCAGAGGGTCGTAAGTACGTACCGCTAGAGGTCCGCGATCGTTTGATCTATTGGGCTCACACGTCACCCTCCTCTGGTCATCCTGGCATCGGTCGGACAGTGACCTGTCTTAGTGGGAAGTACTGGTGGCCCACCTTAGCCAAGGACGTGAGGGTTTATGTTTCCTCCTGCTCGGTGTGCGCCCAGTGTAAGGCTCCTAGACACCTGCCTAGAGGGAAATTACAACCCCTACCCATTCCACAACGACCGTGGTCCCACCTATCGGTGGATTTTATGACTGATCTTCCTCCCTCTAGGGGGAACACAACCATCCTGGTCGTTGTGGATCGGTTTTCTAAGTCCTGTCGCCTCCTTCCTCTGTCCGGACTCCCTACGGCCCTACAAACTGCTGAGGCCCTGTTTACACACGTCTTCCGGCACTACGGTGTGCCTGAGGATATAGTGTCTGATCGGGGTCCCCAGTTCACCTCAAGGATGTGGAGGGCGTTCATGGAACGGTTGGGGATCTCGGTTAGCCTTACCTCAGGTTTTCACCCCGAGAGTAACGGGCAGGTGGAGAGAATTAACCAGGAGGTGGGTAGGTTTCTGAGGTCATATTGCCAGGACCAGCGAGGGGAGTGGTCGGTTTTCCTACCCTGGGCAGAGATGGCTATGAACTCCAACCGCCACTCCTCAACTGACCTCACACCTTTCCAGTGTGTGTTAGGTTATCAGCCGGCCCTGGCACCGTGGCATCAGAGCCAGATCGAGGTACCTGCGGTGGACGAGTTGGTTCGGCGCTCGCAGGAGACCTGGGACGCTACACATGAACGCCTGCAGCGGGCCATCAGGCATCAGAAGGTGAGCGGCGACCGCTACCGCAGTGATCTGGGGCGAGCGCCGACCGCTACCGGGTCTGGCTCTCGATCCGAAACCTGCCCCTTCGCCTGCCCTGCCGGAAGTTGGGTAGGCGGTTTGTGGGCCCATTTAAAGTCCTGAGGAGATTGAACAAGGTATCTTATAGGTTACAGCTTCCTATTAATTATCGTATTAACCCCTCGTTCCATGTGTCTTTCCTCAGGCCGCTTGACTCTGGCCTACCGCATTCCACCGACATTCGTGACAACGAAGTATGTAATGATGGAGAATTTTTGCATTTTTCAAACACCTGAAACATATTTTTCCTGCAATCTAGAGCCACAAGTTTAGTAATTAATTTAACATCTGAAAAAAATAACAAGACAAATCTGAGGAGGAATGTTCCCATGTGCCCCATATGGGCATTAAGCCTCTGCTTCATGCTCATTTTCTCCCTAAAATAGATACTGTATGTAGTCAACTCCAAAGGTCTTATACCTACACCTAGTGGCTAAACCATAATACTACGTATTGAACAAGATGTTGAAGGAGTTCTTCATCGAATAAAAAAAATTGATAACAATACAAAACGAAATGACCTGATTTTTTTTATTTGATATGTAACTTCTACACATCTGAAACAGTGATACTGTCAGTATCATATGGGGGTAATTCGGACAATTTTTGAAACAAAATAAAGAACACACCTCAGATATGCTCATATCTGAATATACAGGGATGTGGCAAGTCTCTATGAATACTGTATCATCTCCACATTCAATCAGTTTGTTTTCATTTAAATATTTTGCACATCATAGCCCACCAGTCCTCCTAAAGAATATGTTTGACTTAACTTTTAGCATTTTGGTGAAAAACTTAAATTAACGTTTATATACTTTTTGGAAATATAATATTTGAGACAATAAATTAACACAAATTGACACAGATGGCTTCCTCCTCAGTTTTCAGGTTTACAGGGTTTCTTCAACAGTGCATGTGGCTAACTTCTGATGTAGGCCTGCTTTGTTCCTCACTGACACCTTTATTACGAATTTGTAATTGTACTTGTAAGTATTGTACTTGTAAGTATTGTACTTGTAAGTATTGTACTTGTACTTGTAAGTATTGTACTTGTAAGTATTGTACTTGTAAGTATTGTATTTGTAAGTATTGTACTTGTAAGTATTGTACTTGTAAGTATTGTACTTGCATGTATCAATGGAAGAACAGCACCAGAGCATTGTTTTAGAGCCCCCTTAATAATCAGTGCATTATTTGCAGAAAGATTAGTTCAGATAGATTTAGATGAGGCTAAACAAAAGCATTCAAGTTGACACAATGAACAGAGAACTTCTCTCCGATTTCACCACTGACACATCAAGAGAAATCAGGTTAAATCTTAAGAGGCACTCACAACAATTTTCATGACCCAATGAAATGCACATACTGTATAAGGTCACAATGAAATCTGCACCAGAGAAAAACATGTATTTTCCTACCATGGGACAGGTCTTTTTTATATGATTTTTTGAAGAAAATCTCTTCAATTGTTAAGTATCTGAATAAAATATAAATGGTGGTGCAGTGGTCGACAACTATTCTGCCATAAGACCTTACATTATGTAAAATAAACACATACAGTATAAATTCCTACTACTGGTTATTAGACCTGCCTTACCAAGGCTCACCTGTGATTGTCAATAGTGCATTTTGTGCCATCGAGATTGTTTCAAATAAACCGGGTGAAAAGCCGCCCAGTGGAATACATTTGGCACATGCCGTCTTAATGACGTAATTTTCTGGTTGTAAACTGCTTTTCTGGTTGTGAAGAAGTCATAAAAACAGATTTCCAACTAGTCTCAGTTACAACCACGTAAAGATGTATTTTTTATGACGAGATCAAGATGTCATAGTAAATACGTCATATGTTGGTTGTTATCTTACGTCATATGTTGGTTGTTATCTGGTCACAAAACACATTACAACTAGGCAAAGACATCTTTTTCTGGTTACTTACGTTAACAAAACATTTTTATACAACGTTACCATAAAGTCATAAAATACGTCATACTGACCACATTGCAATCAGTTTTAAGTGGTTGAATAAGTGGTTGTACTTACAGTATTGAAGAGATCATTAATTAAGTTTTGCATTTCCCACAATGAGTTCAACTTTATACACACAGAAACACAGATTCCACGCTGGGAAACATCTGTAAGATGACTTGCGGCTACAATCAAGGGCTTTTGAGGATAACATTTGCCCTCGTCAACAGTTCATCTGCAAGCGGGACAAGAGATACAATTGCATTTCGAAACACAAACTACTGTGTTAGTTTTTTTAGGTCAATGTTCTCAACCTTATGACTCCCTTCTGGCCCGCAGTTGATGATGTAATATATAATGGTCCATGTGGTTGCTGTAGCCAGCTGAGTGCTAGCCTCCACGATCAACCAGGCCCTGAGACTTAGCCCTGCCCTCTCCAACTTCACTCTCTTCTCCCTCTGCCCTCACTAACAACAATACTGTCAAATTAAAAATGTCAACAATACTGTGAAATTACAATATGTACAGTACAGTACATACAGGTCCAACCACCCATTGACTCTGGCAGGGTCTCTCAGTGCTGTTTGAGCAGAAACTAAAGCCTCGGGATGGGGCTGAGCAAGTCTGCTCTCCAGGGAAGCGGATGTCATTCCTGGAGGAGGGTCTCCCTCCAGTTGAAGCTGTGGTTTGGTCCGTGTGTGAGGGGCAGGATGGGTGGGTCCACCAGCTGCCAGACCCCCGTGTCGGCCTGCTCCTCGCAGGAACAGAAACCTAGGTAGGGGATCTACAGGAGGGAAAGAGGCTCTCGTCAGCCACAACAAAGGCAGAATGAAAGTTAGGGAGTGCGGTGGAAAGGCAGAGGGGGAGAAAGAGAGACAGAGAGAGAGAGAGAGAGAGAGAGAGAGCGAGAGAGAGAGGGAGAGGCAGACAAAGAGAGAGACAGACAGACAGAAACACAGACTGAAACACAGATACAGAGAGACAGAGTGAAAGTAAGAGTGAAAAAGAGTGAGGGGGAAGACACAATGAGATCAAAAGAAAATATCACATTGAGCGAGTAAAATAAACTTCAGCTAACCTTCCTGACTACTTGGATGAAGTCCTTCGAGTTCTGAGGGCTGCGGCCCTGGAGCTGTCGCGTGCAGGCCTCCAGGGAGGAAGCGTGGGCCACAATCAGTATGTTGTTTCCTACAGAGTGGGAGATGAGGAGATGAGGGAAGGGAAGAACAACATGGACCAGATGAATCCCAATGTCCATCCCACACATTTCTGTATCACATCTGGGATTCAAATAGTATTGGTTTTCTTTAAAATACATGAGCGTTTGATTGAACCTGTCTAGAGTGGAGTAGGAGATGAGCAGGGTTTGCACTTTTGGGACTATTCCGTTGATTCCATTGTGCTAGGAAAGCTCAATCGAGCACAGCTAAAGGATTTTAAAGATAAGTACTAATTGAACCCAGGGCTGTTTTTTTTTATACACATCCCATCCAAAGCCACAGCAGTGATTGAACCCTGCATCATAATTACCCATGTTTTTGCAGTCAGACAGAATGTCTTTGGTCACTTGGTAGCTCCGGCTCATGTACGTGTCATAGGACTCCGACACGCTAAGTTTGCTTATTGGGATGAGAGGTCTGTGGGAAGAAACAGTGAGAACGTGAGACAGAGGCATGGCTGAAAAGGCTCCGGCCCCGTCCAGCAACAACCCTTAGCCCCTACCTTAAATAAGCATAGGCAATATGGTAGTAGCTCCATCATTTTCTTTGATAGGCTTAATGGAATGTTGACCATATTATTTGTACATATCTGGTTTCTTTATATCCGTGCCTAGGCCCAAGGCTAGACTAGGGGTTGTTTCTGGATGAGGCCTAACTCTGCGTTTACACAAGGAAGCGGCATCGCACAGTGAAACATCGGAAGCCATTCATTTTCAATGGAAGGAAAGCGAGAGAAGCGGAGTGGGCGGGGGGACCGTTGAGCGAGGCGAGCATGAGTGAGGGAGCTAAACAGAGTATGACTAAAGCTGGGGAAAGCTGAACTTTATTCAAATCCTCCGTGATATTGTGACGCGAGTGACCAATCGAATCTCACCATAGCTTCCAACCCCTACTGGATTGGCTGACAATGGCTGTTGATACGTAGCACAACCTAGCTTGCTTGCTAGCTTGTTAGCACCCACATGAGGGTGAGGCTAGCATGGCTAGGCAAGTGCCGCTTGTATAGTGTAAATGGTCAGTAAGTGTACAGTATGGAGGTGAACCAGGAAACAGTCTTGCCTGTATCACCTGTATGTTGTGTCTACACTGAAGTGGGATGCAGCCAGGTCTGTGGGAGGGATCCAGGCAGGAAGGGAGCTCCCAGAGACCCACTTGGTCCACTCGAATAGCCCTGGCTCCACTCTGATCTTCAGCTTGCCATCCTGCTGCAGACCTGCAAGGGGAGACAGAGAGGCGCATCAGCAGAGGAAGACTGCAGCCTCTGCTGCACACATCAGCCCTGTCCAAAAACAACCCCTAGTCCCCTAGTCCCCTAGCCACTTATGTAGATCTGAAAGGATTGGATTAAGATAAGCAATATGGAGACAATTTCACTTAGCCTATCAGAAGGAAAGGGAACTACTACCATATTGGCTAAATTTACCAACCCCCTCTCAGATCTACATAAGTGCCTCAGGGGAAAGGACCAGAACACAGGACCAGAACACATTATATGCTCTCAATTATGTTTATTGACAACATTTCAACCACTAAAGGGGCAATCCACAGTTGAAACAATAACAAAGCGTCCTCCCTGCCACTGTTTCGGGATGGGGCTGGAGAAATGTAACCATTTTCAAATTCATAGACAGAGCTATGGATGCAAGAACTGACCATCCATGATATCAAATGATAGTTTTAACTATGTTTGTAGGCTATACAGTGCATGTTTACATTTACTTTGTTTACAAACATTGGAGTAAAAAAACTGTATATTTTGGTTCTGATGGGGTACGACAGTTGCTAAGCTCATGAAGCATTTATAAATTAGATTGTTCAAGAATCAATGGGTACATATAATTCATTTATAAGCCCCAAAATGGATGTAGCAACTGCAGAATGCCCCTTTAAGTCTTCATCAGGGGTTAGAGAGGCGGACATTATGGATATGGCTCTTTATCCTAAGTAGGATTTGTGGTGGCAAGTAACTACATGCTGGTTACCTTTGAGGATGTTCTGAGCAGTCTGGACACAGCGCAGAGAAGGCGAACAGTACACAAAGTCGATCACTGTGTTGCTCTCCAACAACGCCTCGCCTGCAACAAAGACAGACAGGGGAATAGATTGTTATCACGCTGTAATGAAACATGAGATATGGAATTGGGCAGATAACATAGCCTACTACTATGTGTTGACAACCACATACCCACTATTTGTGCTTGTGTGGAACCAAACACAGTGATGGGGGTGTCCATGTCGTAATCTCGGTGTCCTCCACTCCACATAGGCAGGCTGACTGGCATGTTCAGGTTAGTGGGCACATATCTACCTGTAAAATAGCACACCACAACCCAGCACACTGCTGTTATGGTTTCAAAACCTACAAACAATACTGCCGTTTTATTTATCCAATCAAAACATCAGATTCATCCAACTCAAAATGTATGCCTCCTTTGAAAGCACACTTGCTTTTAGGATTGCACCTCCAGTACCATTGGTCTGACTCTGCTCACCTTTGGAGTCAGAGCACAGTGAAAGCCAGTGTTTCCCAAACACCACATCCATCCGCTCACCGTGCCGACAGACAAACAGGGTTCGCTTGGGCAGCCGAGAGTGATTGCTGCTGACCCGAAGCACCTAAGAAACAATACAGTGAATTGGGGCATCAAATCCATAACATTTTCGAGAAATTATCAGTACACCAGAAAAACCGCTTTGCTATTGAAGCAAGGTTATTATAGTTTGTGTTTTTATATTAGTTTTTATTTCTATTAGTTTTTATTTTTTTATTTAAAATTCAATTTAGTTTCCTTTTCAGACCTGATTTGCTAATTGTTATTTAGTTATAGTTGTATACAAATATTTATATTTCGTTTTTATATTATTTAGTTTCAGTTTAATTTTAGTGTTAGGGACAGAAAGCATGCGTGGGAGGCTAGGAGCCATTGGTGCTGTAAAGTTTTCGGGGATGTCATTTCTTGCAACTGGAGGCAGTAATACATAAATTATAAAGTCAATCTCAATGTGACTTGGATTTAAAAGGAATAGCGCAAAGACTGGTGCAAAGAATATGGTGGAAGGAAACTTGTTTTTTCATGATTCGTTTTCATTTTCGTTTACAATGATAATCTTGAATTGAAGTCATTCTTCAAGAATAATAAGAATCCTGTTGCATATCATAACCAGGACCAGGAGTTTTTCCTGATCAGGATTAAACGCTAGGCACTACTTATCCTGGTTAGGAAAGGCTGTATGGTTTAGTTAAAGAGACTTCCTTCTGTTCTTTGGAAAAAGTACCAGTACCTGCATGGGATGACAGATGAGGCTCAAAGTGGGTGTGTCCCCAGGGCTTGTGTTGTCGAGGCGACGGCTGTCCAGCAGCCCATCGAATGGGCCCCTTTCTTTGCTCCCTTTGTCGGAGGGGGCGGAGCAACTGAAGAAGGAGTGTGATCTGCACAGGGTAGAGGACAAGAGTTAACACACATACTCACTACTACTCATGCATCACTACTGACTACTGAGCAGAACTCTCCACGCTCTTCTACAGTGTTCTAGCCCAGGGTGCGGGTCAATTCCATTTCAATTAAGTCAATTCAAGAAGCAAACAGTTCCTTCTGGATTTACTGAATTGAAATGGAATTGACCCCTGCCCCCATGTTCTGGACCCAGGACTGTAAGTAAGAAGCTGGTGAAAGTAATACATTCTCAAACTGGCACAGCACATTCTGAGGGCTCACCCGTGGAAGACCCAGGTGTCACACTCGTCTGCCCGGCTGACGTAGTTCTCAGGCAATAGGCCGGACAGCCCCGTGGCCAGGGAAGACCCATAGACCCAGCCCTCGCTGGTGTTGTTCTGCTCCAAGGGAGACATGAAGACAAAGTCGCCCGGGACCAGCTCCAGCTCGTCCTCATTCTGAGGGCCGTAGGGATACATCACGCGCAGTGTCTGCAACAGAGGGAGGGAAAGACACTGCTTGAGCACACCCATGCCATATCTAGCACCAGAATACAGTACAATGCAAGGCTATAGGTTTAAATGGGCAAGCTCGTAAAGGGTCACTGTGATATTTACAGCCGTTCTAAATGAATCATTACTGTATATTCCCATTGATTCTTGAAGAATATCACGTATTATAAATGCCTCATGAGCTTGTCTTGTAGAAGGTACAAGGTCCATGTCATGGTTGATTAGTAGAAAGTACAGTCGTGGTCAAAAGTTTTGAGAATGACACAAGTATTGGTCTTCACAAAGTTTGCTGCTTCAGTGTTATGAGATATTTTTGTCAGATGTTACTATGGTATACTGAAGTATTATAACAAGCATTACATAAGTGTCAAAGGCTTTTATTGACAATTACATTAAGTTTATGCAAAGAGTCAATATTTGCAGTGTTGACTCTTCTTTTTCAAGACCTCTGCAATCCACCCTGGCATGCTGTCAATTAACTTCTGGGCCACATCGTGACTGATGGCAGCCCATTCTTGCATAATCAATGCTTGGAGTTTGTCAGAATTTGTGGGGTTTTGTTTGTCCACCCGCCTCTTGAGGATCGACCACAAGTTCTCAATGGGATTAAGGTCTGGGGAGTTTCCTGGCCATGGACCCAAAATGTCGATGTTTTGTTCCCCAAGCCACTTAGTTATCACTTTTGCCTCATGGCAAGGTGCTCCATCATGCTGGAAAAGGCATTGGTCGTCACCAAACTGTTCTTGGATGGTTAGGAGAAGTTGCTCTTGGAGGATGTGTTGGTACCATTCTTTATTCATGGCTGTGTTCTTAGGCAAAATTGTGAGTGAGCCCACTCCCTTGGCTGAGAAGCAACCCCACACATGAATGGTCTCAGGATGCTTTACTGTTGGCATGACACAGGACTGATGGTAGCGCTCACCTTGTCTTCTCCGGACAAGGTGTTTTCCGGATGCCCAAAAACAATCGGAAAGGGGATTCATCAGAGATGAAGGGGATTCATCAGAGATTTACCCCAGTCCTCAACAGTCCAATCCCTGTACCTTTTGCAGAATATCAGTCAGTCCCTGATGTTTTTCCTGGAGAGAAGTGGCTTCTTTGCTGCCCTTCTTGACACCAGGCCATCCTCCAAAAGTCTTCGCCTCACTGTGCGTGCAGATGCACTCACACCTGCCTGCTGCCATTCCTGAGCAAGCTCTGCACTGGTGGTGCCCCAATCCCGCAGCTGAATCAACTTTAGGAGATGGTCCTGGCGCTTGCTGGACTTTCCTGGGCGCCCTGACGCCTTCTTCACAACAATTGAACCTCTCTCCTTGAAGTTCTTGATGATCCGATAACTGGTTGATTTAGGTGCAATCTTACTAGCAGCAATATCCTTGCCTGTGAAGCCCTTTATGTGCAAAGCAATGATGACGGCACGTGTTTCCTTGCAGGTAACCATGGTTAACAGAGGAAGAACAATGATTTCAAGCACCACCCTCCTTTTAAAGCTTCCAGTCTGTTATTCTAACTCAATCAGCATGACAGAGTGATCTCCAGCCTTGTCCTCGTCAACACTCTCACCTGTGTTAACGAGAGAATCACTGACATGATGGCAGCTGGTCCTTTTGTGGCAGGGCTGAAATGCAGTGGAAATTGTTTTTTTGGGATTAAGTTCATTTTCATGGCAAAGAGGAACTTTGCAATTAATTGCAATTAATCTGATCACACTTCATGACATTCTGGAGTATATGCAAATTGCCATCATCAAAACTGAGGCAGCAGACTTCGTGAAAATTAGCATTTATGTCATTCTCAAAACTTTTGACCACGACTGTACAAGAGTAGTATTGGATGTGAAATGAAGGTGGACAGGGTTTATGTCAGAAAACAAAGTGGTTATTATTACCTCATGATTGGTAAACCGAATGTCCCGGGAGAAAAGGACAGCCAGCCAATCACAGCCTAGCTTCACCTCGATTCCCTTAGCCAGCTTTTCCAGGGAGGACAGGTGATTGGTGGGGAAGTGGTAGGCTAACGTCAGATGGAGCTGCTTCTTATGGGGCTCTAAATGGACATCTGAGACAGAGAGAGAAGGAACGAGTGAATAAAGGTAAAGAATATGAAGAAAGTCATTTCTGTGGGGCAAACTACTACGGAGGGAATCTAGCGCAGCAAATCGTAAATCAGAGACCTACTTGAGCAGCACCGCCCCCTCAAGATTCTGAGCCTGCCTGGCAGGGTTGGTCCTACAAAGCCAGAGCCCCCTGATGGGAGAGCATAATATACAAGGAAATTCTCAAAGCTGCTAATGAGAACCTTGACGACCTTTTACCTAGCCGGTGGGGATTCCGGTGGGGTACGCCCACCCAGGTAGTGGCAGTGCTGGCAACACTGGCTGCAGTAACCCATGGGGAGGGGGTCACACTCGGACAATCAGAGAGGGGGTTTATCATTGTGGCCCAGGTGGCACAAAATAATCAAAGGTCTGACCGCATGGAGATGCTTGGGAAAATGGTTACAACAGGGGATCAGAGTGTTTGTGTCTCAGGTGAAGAGGGTGGATCTGATCTCCATCACCTAGGACTTGACATAGATTAAGTAGATTAATCAAATCTCACATTGTTATCAATTTCTGCTCAATCTCCATGCTTTCCCAATCAGCTTTAACTGTATGTGCACTCGTAAATCAAGTTATTTCTCGAGTTGGGCTCTGGGATATAACAGCCGTTGAGTATCTGATTTTATGGTGGATTGTGGAGGAGGGGGGTTGAGTGTGTTGGAGTATGTGAGTATGTGCGTGTGTGCTTGTCTGGCATCTGTTGTGGGGGGGTGGGGATGTTGGGGGGGGAGGGGGGGGGTTATGGGATGGACCACGGGAATTATTTGCTAGGATAATAATTGCTTGTCAATGAATTAAATGTAATACAATGGCAATCCGGGTTATATGTTAGAATCCTACGCATGAACTGCCGACATTATTACGCATATTAATTGATAATGATGGAAAATAGGATATGCATAATTTTTAAAAAAAATAGTTACAGTGGGGAGAACAAGTATTTGATACACTGCCGATTTTGCAGGTTTTCCTACTTACAAAGCATGTAGAGGTCTGTCATTTTTATCATAGGTACACTTCAACTGTGAGAGATGGAATCTAAAACAAAAATCCAGAAAATCACATTGTATGATTTTTAAGTAATTAATTTGCATTTTATTGCATGACATAAGTATTTGATCACCTACCAACCAGTAAGAATTCCGGCTCTCACAGACCTGTTAGTTTTTCTTTAAGAAGCCCTCCTGTTCTCCACTCATTACCTGTATTAACTGCACCTGTTTGAACTCGTTACCTGTATAAAAGACACCTGTCCACACACTCAATCAAACAGACTCCAACCTCTCCACAATGGTCAAGACCAGAGAGCTGTGTAAGGACATCAGGGATAAAATTGTAGACCTGCACAAGGCTGGGATGGGCTACAGGACAATAGGCAAGCAGCTTGGTAAGAAGGCAACAACTGTTGGCGCAATTATTAGAAAATGGAAGAAGTTCAAGATGACGGTCAATCACCCTCGGTCTGGGGCTCCATGCAAGATCTCACCTCATGGGGCATCAATGATCATGAGGAAGGTGAGGGATCAGCCCAGAACTACACGGCAGGACCTGGTCAATGACCTGAAGAGAGCTGGGACCACAGTCTCAAAGAAAACCATTAGTAACACACTACGCCGTCATGGATTAAAATCCTGCAGCGCACGCAAGGTCCCCCTGCTCAAGCCAGCGCATGTCCAGGCCCGTCTGAAGTTTGCCAATGACCATCTGGATGATCCAGAGGAGGAATGGGAGAAGGTCATGTGGTCTGATGAGACAAAAATATAGCTTTTTGGTCTAAACTCCACTCGCCGTGTTTGGAGGAAGAAGAAGGATGAGTACAACCCCAAGAACACCATCCCAACCGTGAAGCATGGAGGTGGAAACATCATTCTTTGGGGATGCTTTTCTGCAAAGGGGACAGGACGACTGCACCGTATTGAGGGGAGGATGGATGGGGCCATGTATCGCGAGATCTTGGCCAACAACCTCCTTCCCTCAGTAAGAGCATTGAAGATGGGTCGTGGCTGGGTCTTCCAGCATGACAACGACCCGAAACACACAGCCAGGGCAACTAAGGAGTGGCTCCGTAAGAAGCATCTCAAGGTCCTGGAGTGGCATAGCCAGTCTCCAGACCTGAACCCAATAGAAAATCTTTGGAGGGAGCTGAAAGTCCGTATTGCCCAGCGACAGCCCCGAAACCTGAAGGATCTGGAGAAGGTCTGTATGGAGGAGTGGGCCAAAATCCCTGCTGCAGTGTGTGCAAACCTGGTCAAGACCTACAGGAAACGTATGATCTCTGTAATTGCAAACAAAGGTTTCTGTACCAAATATTAAGTTCTGCTTTTCTGATGTATCAAATACTTATGTCATGCAATAAAATGCAAATTAATTACTTAAAAATCATACAATGTGATTTTCTGGATTTTTGTTTTAGATTCCGTCTCTCACAGTTGAAGTGTACCTATGATAAAAATGACAGACCTCTACATGCTTTGTAAGTAGGAAAACCTGCAAAATCGGCAGTGTATCAAATACTTGTTCTCCCCACTGTATATAGATATATATATATAGAGGTGAAAGCATTGGAAATGCTTTTGGCGGTTAATCTGCTTCTGTTTTGTGGGTGGCACTGTGTGCTGTTTTCGATGGATGGGTCCTGGCCTCTCGGGCCTTAGGGATACGGAGGGACGTGGGTGGGATGCTGAGCTCAACTTGGGATGGGGAGGGGCTTTAGCGGGGGAATTAGTGGAGAACAATTGTAGGGTTACTCCGTAGCAATGCAAATATCACGGTACAGCTATATGGACACTCAATCATTACGCTATTTTTTATTGGTAAATTTACAAACATATATAATGATAAATAGACTTGAAACTTGTATCTCATTATGATGTATGGTGAAATAAGTATAGCCAGTTATAATTGTAATGATTTAGCTGATAATAACAAAAGAAGAACAATATTTACATGGCTCAAAGAGAAGGAATATAATATCTATTGTATACAGGAAACTCATTCAACAATTCGAGATGAAGTAGCGTGGAAAAAAGAATGGGGGGGGGGGGGGGAAATATACTTCTCCCATGGGCAAAGAAATTCAAAAGGGGCGATGATATTAATTAATAGTAATTTCGATCCGAATGTGCAAATTGTCCAAATAGATACGCAAGGTAGATGGATAATTTTACATATGTTATTGGACCATAAACAGATATGGCTCATTAACCTTTACGGACCAAATAATGATGATCCACAATTCTTTGACAATATATATAATAAATTATCAAGCCTGCAAGCAACTCAAGACAATATTATTATGGTGGGGGATTATAATACTGTTTTAAATAGCTCAATGGACCGTAAAGGAAATCACACCACAAACAATCACCCACATGCTCTTAAGGAAATTGTGAATGTCATGGATACATTAGAACTAGTAGATATATGGAGGCTTAAATATACTGATCTAGTGAGATATACATGGCGGAGACTGAATCAAGCTAGTCGTCTTGACTTCTTTCTTATCTCATTCTCGTTGGCACCAAAAGTAAAAAAAAGTGTTGATAGGGGACAGAATGCGGTCGGACCATCATATAATAGGCATATACATTACTCTTCCTGAATTTCCACGTGGGCGAGGATATTGGAAATTTAATCAAAGCCTATTGGATGATAATTTATTTATAATTAGAACAAAGGAATTTATAACTGACTTTTTCCAACATAACATAGGTACAGCGAATCCCCTTATTGTATGGGACACCTTTAAATGTGCCTTTAGAGGCCATGCAATTCAGTACTCATCTCGAAAACAAAAGCAATTTAGGTCAAAAGAGTTTATACTAAGAAAGGAAATAGAAAGTCTAACAGAACAGATAGATGGCAATAAAAACTGTAACATAGAGGCTCAGAATAAATTAGAGGAAAAACAAAAAGAAATGGAGAAACTTATTCAAGAAAGATCAAGTGTAATATATTATAAAAATAAAGCAAACTGGATGGAATATGGGGAAAAATGCACAAAATTCTTTTTTAATCTTCAACATAGGAATGCTACCAAAAATAACTTAATGAAACTGGTTACAATTGACGGAGTCACCCATAATTCACCAAATGATATTTTGAAGGAAGAAACAAAGTACTTTAAGCATATGTTTTCTTTTCAGTCGCCTCCATCTCCTCTAACTGAAGCTAATTGTAGAGATTTTTTTTCTATTGATAATGTCAAATTAACAGCCACACAGAAAGACTCATGTGAAGGTGAAATTACAGAGGAGCAATTAAAGACTTTAAGTCCGGGAAAACTCCAGGGTTGGATGGCATACCAGTCAAGGTATACCAAACCTTTTTTGATATTCTAAGAGGACCGTTATTAGCATGTTTTAACCACTCCTATGTAAATGGTAGATTATCTGACACTCAAGAAGAAGGTCTGATCTCATTATTACTGAAACAGGATACAAGTGGAAAATATAAAGATCCAGTCCATTTACAAAATTGGAGGCCCCTTACACTTCAGTGTTGTGATTCAAAAATCCTAGCAAAATGTATAGCGCATAGAATTAAAAAGGTATTGTCGGATATTATTCATTCTAATCAGACAGGTTTTTTACATGGAAGATACATTGGAGATAATATAAGGCAAGTATTGGAAACAATAGAACACTATGGAAAATATGGGAAACCAGGCCTGCTATTCATAGCAGACTTCGAAAAGGCATTTGATAAAGTTCGACTGGGGTTTATATATAAATGCCTGGAGCATTTCAATTTTGGAGAATCTCTTATAAAATGGGTCAAAATCATGTATAGTAACCCTATGTGTAAAATAGTAAATAATGGCTATTTCTCCGAAAGTTTTAAACTGTCAAGAGGAGTGAAACAAGGTTGTCCACTATCGGCATATCTATTTATTGTGGCCATCGAGATGTTAGCTATTAAAATCAGATCCAATAATAATATCAGAGGATTAGAAATACAGGGCTTAAAAACAAAGGTGTCATTGTACGCTGATGATTCATGTTTTCTTTTAAATCCACAACTAGAATCCCTCCACAGCCTCATAGAGGATCTAGATACATGTTCTAACCTCTCTGGATTACAACCAAATTATGACAAATGTACTATATTACGTATTGGATCACTAAAAAATACAATTTTTACATTACCATGTAGTTTACCAATAAAATGGTCTGATGGTGATGTGGATATACTCGGAATACATATCCCAAAGGAAATACATGATCTCACTTCAATACATTTTTATAGAAAGTTAGCAAAAATAGATAAGATCTTACTACCATGGAAAGGAAAATACCTGTCAATTTGTGGGAAAATCACCCTGATTAACTCTTTAGTATTATCCCAGTTTACCTATTTGCTTATGGTCTTGCCTACGCCTAGCGAACAGTTTTTTAAATTATATGAGAAAAAAATATTCAATTTTATTTGGAACGGCAAGCCAGACAAAATTAAAAGGGAATATTTATATAATGAATATGAATTCGGAGGACAGAAATTATTAAATATTAAAGCATTAGACCTATCACTAAAAGCTTCAGTCATACAAAAGTTATACTTAAATCCGAACTGGTTCTCAAGCAAATTAGTAAGATTGTCTCACCCAATGTTCAAGAAAGGCCTTTTTCCCTTTATTCAGATTACAACCTCTCACTTTCAGTTATTTGAAAAGGAAATAATCTCCCAAATATCACTATTTCTAAAACAAGCCATAGAAAGTTGGTTGCAATTTCAATTTATCCTCCAGAAACGACAGAACAAATAATGCAACAAATATTGTGGTTAAATTCAAATATACTAATTGACAAAAAACTTTATTTTTTGACAGAATGTTTAAAAAAGGTATAATCTTCGTAAATGATATCCTCGGTAGGACTGGTGGAGTTATGTCGCACATGCAGCTAACAAAAACATATGGAAATGTCTGCTCTACCCAAAATTACAACCAAATAATTGCAGCCTTACCGCAAAAGTGGAAGAGGAAAGTGGAAGGGGGAGAAAGTAAGGAACTTGTCTGTCGGCCTTGCATTAAAGAACATAATTGGTTAAGGAAAACTGTGATAAATAAAAAAGTATATCAGTTTCACTTAAGGACCAAAGGATTGACAGCCGTCCCATATAGATTGCAAAATAGTTGGGAAGAGATCTTTGATGTACCGATCCCATGGCATAGTGTTTATGAACTGACATGCAAAACGACACCGGATTCAAAAATTTGAATCTTTCAATTTAAATTATTATATAAAATTCTTGCTACCAATAGAATGTTATTTATATGGGGGATACAATCTTCCCAGCTCTGCAGATTTTGCTGTGAAGTGACAGAATCATTAGATCATTTGTTTTGGTTCTGTCCATTTGTAGCTTGTTTTTGGACACAGGTCCAGGAATGGCTAAAGGATTGCAATATTTACCTGGAACTAACCTTGCAGATCGCATTACTGGGTGATCTGAAAAGTCATAGTCAATCAATCAATAATATAATAATACTTTTAGCAAAAATGTTTATTTTTAATTCACAATCTGTAGAAGCAATAAAACATCTACAGAGTGGAGCAAAATGTCCCAATATTTTCCAAACAACCTTTTCTGACGTGTTATAATCCACCATGCACAATTTGAAATGAAGCTCCAAACTGCCGGTGCCTTATGGTGAAGATAATCTCTTTAGGATTTAGCATTACAGTCAGGGCCGGCGCCAGAATGAATCAGTTGGACAGGCATTTGATTTCTATAGGCAGGCCCGTTTTTTTCACGGGCACCTACTTTGTGCTTGCGCGTGCTCACATTTTGTTAATGGGTGTTATGATAAAGACCATACACTCTTAGAAAAAAAGGTGCTATCTAGAACCCAAAAGGGTTCTTCGGCTGTCCCCATAGGAGAACCCTTTGAATAACCTTTTTTGGTTCCAGGTAGAACCCCTTTGGGTTCAATGTAGAACCCTTTCCACAGAGGGCTCTACATGGAACCCAAAAGGGTTCTACATGGAACCAAAAAGGGCTCTACCAGGAACCAAAAATGGTTATCCTATGGGGACAGCCGAATAACCCTTTTGGAACCCTTTTTTCTAAGAGTGTAGGCAGCTCGTGAGTTTAAGTTTGGGGAAGCTTACAATTTATCCTACCATTTCTACCTATCTGCGTGCCATATAACTATAGGCCAATGCAGCAGTAGGCCTATAACTTCCATAATCAACTAAGTAAAATATATAGGCCTAAAGCCATAAAAAAAAAGAAAACTGTAGAAAATATCCTGATGAAAATTCTGGTTCTTTCAATCACATTAATATCTCTACTCCACCTGTCAATAAATAGGCCATAGTGCAAAATAATTACAATTTAGTATTAACACTGGAATGATAGATGTGCAAGAGATGATGTGCAAATAGAGATACTGGGGTGCAAATTAGCAAAATAAATAACAATATGGGGATGAGGTAGTTGGGTGGGCTAATTACAGATGGGCTGTGTACAGGTGCAGTGATCGGTAAGCTGCTCTGAAGCTTAAAGTTAGTGAGGGAGCTTCAGAGATTTTTGCAGTTCGTTCCAGTCATTGGCAGCAGAGAACTGGAAGGAATGGCGGCCAAAGGAGGTGTTGGCTTTGGGGATGACCAGTGAGATATACCTGCTGGAGCGCATACTACAGGTGGGTGTTGCTAAGGTGACCAATGAGCTAAGATAAGGCGGGGATTTGCCTAGCAGTGATTTATAGATGACCTGGAGCCAGTGGGTTTGGCGACGAATATGTAGTGAGGGCCAGCCAAGGAGAGCGTACAGATCCTCTGTGGCTAAGTCAAGCTCTCTGGCAAAGTATTTTTGAATGATTTTATTTAGACAGGAGTAATTATATAATTTTGGCAAAACATACATTTACTTTAGGGAAAGCCAGCATCCGAACAGTGCACTGTGCACCCGCCAACTTTCCTTTCTAATTTTCAAGTGGCTGAAACCAGAGATATATATATCTCGTCATTATCATTATATCTCGTCATTATCATTATATCTGTATATAATGACGAGATGCTAATGTCTCCGCCCTAACAATGCGAGTCGCTGTCCCAAATCCGGGAATGCAGGCGACAAGTTTAGGTCTGCATATTATGCCCATAGAAACGCAATGGGCGTATTCAGGACAGATTCTTGCGAGAGCGAGCCCTCGCACTTCTCCTCTTCCTCTCTGCTGAAAGTAGCGAGCCAAACAGCGCCCCTCTGTCATCCTATATGTAGCTCATGTATCTGATGATGTCTGGCCAGAAAAAGTATGACATGCCATACTCCTTTTGTCCAGACAGCATCAGATACATGGTCTACACATACGGAGACAGAGGGGCGCTGTTTCACGGATGCTTTATCTGAGATTAATGCGTCTTTCTGTCTTTGCGTGTCTCAGTCAAATAAATGATCAATATTTCAATATTTATTTATTTGTCCAGTAGGTCGAGCCAGGCCCCCTAGGGCCCGCCAATAACGTCGGCCCTGATTACAGTAATCCCTTACCAACCTAAAATATGTCATTTTCTGACCAAAGCGTGAGGAGCGATAGATTGCCTGTAAAAAGGCAATGTGTGCATGCTTGTGTGTGTGTGTGTGTGTGTGTGTGTGTGTCTGACGTGCTTGCGTGCATGGGTGTGTGTCCATGTGTCACAGGCAGAGAGAGTCCCTACCTGCTTTCCTGGCAGCCTCAGAAGCAAAGTCAGCAGCAAACTGCTTGAGGACCTCTGCGATCTGCTCCTCAACAAAGAGGCCTATGAAGTTGAAGGAGGTGTAGAGCTCCAGGGGCAGGGGGCTAGGGAAACGACCCCTCCATTGGCCCACCGTGGCCTGCAGGGCTTCCAACAGGGCATCCACCTTGTTGTCTGCACACTGGGGGACATGGTTGAGTCTGAGTACCACACAAACACTGAGGCTTACATCAACATTTAGGGCCAGTTTACCAGACACAGATTAGACCTAGTCCTGGACTTCTGCTCAATGGAGAATCGCCATTGAAAGCACGTTTTAGTCCAGGATTTAGCTTAATCTGTGTCTGGGAAACTGGCCCTTACTAGACAGATGTTACAGTCTCTTGAACTCAACGTGACTTCCTGGATAAATACACACTTAGAAAAAAGGGTTCCAAAAGGGTTATTCGGCTGTCGCCATAGGAGAACCCTTTTTTGGTTAAAGGTAGAACTCTTTTGGGTTCCATGTAGAACCCTTTATGCATTCTACATGGAACTCAAAAGGGTTCTACCTGGAAGCAAAAAGTGTTTTTCAAAGGGTTCTCCTATTGGGACAGCCAAAGAACACCTTTAGGTTCTAGATAGCACCTTTTTTTCTAAGAGTGTAGGTTCAATTAAAATGTTAAAACAATGTGTCATAAGTGTTAAGTAACATAATTATAATACTTAATGGCGAGCTGAATTAGAGGGAGGAGCATCCATGTGTTGATGTATGAGCATGAGGTGTGTCATTTCACCCTGGGCTCACCATGAAGAACTGGCAGAGTGTGATGTGGGGGAAGATGTTGTGGGCCTTGTTCTTGCCACAGGTGACGCGGGACTGCTGCCAGAAGTGATGGAGCTGATTCTGCAGGGGTCCGCTGGGGCGCAGGTACAGGACATACTCTCTGGGCAACGGGTCATCCAGGAAGGGGTCATCCACATGGGAGAACAGCCTGAGGAAGAGCAGGAGAAGAAGAGGAGGAGGCTTATCAATGACTGAGGTAGAAGATGTGTGTGTGTGGGGGGGGGGGGGGGGGGGGGGGGGCTCCAATGCAGCTGTTTTTATCTCAATATGAACTATCTTTCTTTTTGGTCTGTTAACTAATTTACCAGGCAGGCCAAAACTCCCTCCCACCAAAACAAGCTGAAATTCCAGGCTGTCTTTTTTTTTTTTTGGGGGGGGGGGGGGGGTAGATCAGCTTTAATATTGCAAATAGATTGTAACTTCCAAAAATATAGTGAACAACAATGCTTAGGCCTCTACTTCCAGCTTATACATACTATATACATTTTATAATAATATAATAATATGCCACTTAGCAGACGCTTTTATCCAAAGCGACTTACAGTCATGTGTGCATACATTTTTTGTGTATGGGTGGTCCCGGGGATCGAACCCACTACCCTGGCGTTACAAGCGCCGTGCTCTACCAGCTGAGCTACAGAGGACTACTAATTGACACAAGTCCATTTTATAATAATGATATTTTGTTTGTTTTTACTCCTGAACTTCCTCTACCCTCAACCTCTCCGATCATTTTCATGATGTCCATCCGATGCCATATCTTTCTAACTGTGCTCTTTCACAAAAGCTCTCAACCTATAACCTATATACTTATTATGGACACAGTATGCTTTACATTAGTTATCTTGTTGTTATTAGTTGTTGTTAGTTGTTATTAGTCCCATCCTTCAACTCCATTCAACACTACCCATCTATCTCTTAACACCATCCATATTGGATTTCAATTTGCCATATATTTTTAAACTGTACTGTGATGTTTTACAAAAGTTCTGAACCCTTCTATTCTCATTGTTTCTACAGATTGTAAATTGAAAATATTTTTTTTTGCTAAAAGTATTATTATATTATTGATCGATTGACTATGACCTTTCAGATCACCCAGTAGTGCTATCTGCAGGGTTAGCTCCAGGTAAATATTGCAATCCTTTAGCCATTCCTGGACCTGTGTTCAAAAATAAGCTACAAATGGACAGTACCAAAACAAATGATCTAATGATTCTGTCTCTTTGCAGCAAAATCTGCAGAGCTGGGAAGATTGTATCCCCCATATAAATAACATTATATTGGTAGCAATATTTTTTTATAATAATTTAAATTAAAAAATTCTAAGTTTTGAATCCGGCGTCGTTTTGCGTATCAGTTCATAAACACTATGCCATGGAATCGGTACGTCAAAAATCTCTTCCCAACTATTTTGCAATCTATATGGGATGGCTGTCAATCCTTTGGTCCTTAAATGAAACTGGTATACTTTTTTATTTATCACTATTTTCTTTAACCAATTATGTTCTTTAATGCAAGGCCGACAGACAAGTTCCTTACTTTTTCCCCATTCCACTTTCTTCTTCCATTTTTGCGGTAATGCTGCAATTATTTGGTTGTAATTTTGGGTAGAGCAGACATTTCCATATGTTTTTGTTAGCTACATGTGCAACATAACTCCACCAGTCCTACCTATGATATAATTTACGAAGATTATACCTTTTTTTTTTTATCCAAAAAATAAAGTTTTTTTTATCAATTAGTATATTTGAGTTTAACCACAATATTTGTTGTTCTGTCGTCTTTTTGGGGGGGATTAAATTGAAATTGCAACCAACTTTTTATGGCTTGTTTTCTGAATAAGGTTGTAATCTGAATAAAGGGAAAAAGGCCATTCTTGAACATTGGGTGAGACAATCTTACAAATTTGCTAGAGAACCAGTTCGGATTTAAGTATAACTTTTGTATGACTGAAGCTTTTAGTGATAGGTCTAATGTTTTAATATTTAATCATTTCTGTCCTCCAAAGTCATATTAATTATATAAATAGGCCTGTTTAATTTTGTCTGGCTTGCCGTTCCAAATAAAATGGAAAAAATCGTTCTCATATAATTTAAAAAACTGTTCGCTAGGCGTGGGCAAGACCATAAGCAAATAGGTAAACTGGGATAATACTAAAGAGTTAATCAGGGTGATTCTTCCACAAATGTACAGGTATTTACCTTTCCATGGTAGCAAGAGCTTATCTATGTTTGCTAACTTTCTATTAAAATGTATTGGAGTGAGATTATTTATTTCCTTTGGGATATGTATTCCGAGTATATCCACATCACCATCAGACCATTTTATTGGTAAACTACATGGTAATGTAAAATGTTTATTTTTTAGTGATCCAATACGTAATATAGTACATTTATCATAATTTGGTTGTAATCCAGAGAGGTTAGAAAATGTATCTAGATCTTCTATGAGGCTGTGGAGGGATTAAAGTTGTGGATTTAAAAGAAAACATGAATCATCAGCGTACAATGACACCTTTGTTTTTAAGCCCTGGATTTCTAATCCCTTGATATTATTGTTGGATCTGATTTTAATATCTAACATTTCGATGGCCATAATAAATAGATATTCTGATAGTGGACAATTTCAGGCAGTCTTTTCAAACAGCTCTTACACTAAAAGGGCATTATCATAATTTTCACAATTTCACAGTATAATTCCAACCTCGGAGTGTAGAAATATATATAAAACACTGGAAAATCTAGTTTTTGAGTGCACTGGGCCTTTAAAGAATTGTAGTCGTTCACACCTGGCTAAATAGTAAGCGCACACACATAGGCAGTACAGCAGAGGGCAGCATAACACTACCATAACATTATCACAGTTCAACATGGTTTATCTCTGGGAGTGTGTGTTTGTATATGTGTGCATGTGTGTTAGAACTCACCAGTCACATGCTGCCTGTACACTCCTGTCTCCTGTTGATACTAGTGCCTTCAATCTGCAAAGACAGAAAACAGTGGCTGTTACAATGCTCACCCTTGAAGGTTTTATTTCCAATGCTTGTATGCAGTTTCCTTATTTGCATGCACTTATGGTATATTGTGACATTGTTACTAAAATATTATTTAAGAAATGTTTTATGGTAAAGTCATATATAGCGTACTTATAGTAGATTGAATCTCACTTATTTATAGCCAAACTGAGAGGCACAAAGCCAGAGTTCACAATCTCTGTTCCATATTTGTCTGAGATAAGTGGCAGAGGGTACGACCCAGATGGCACCCTATTTCCTATTGGGCCCCTGTCAAAAGTAGTGCACTATATAGGGAAAAGGGTGCCATTTGGGAGGGACAGATTCACACAGTTTTAATAAGCACTATTGAGGTAGAGTTCATACACTGTATATTTAGTCATGTGGAGCATGGTTCAGCAGGAGTAGCACAGCCTTTATTATAAACAGTGGAGTCTGATACAGTGGACAGTTATACTAAGCTAATCATACCGTTTCAATAAGACACTCCATAGGAAAGTGTGGAGGAGATTCCTCGATACAGTATGAGTATGAATAAAACACAAAGGTGTGAGGTGAACAACCCACCACACATAATTTCCACTCAGCCATTTCAACTGTCAAAACCAGTTCAATCAATTAATCCATGAAAATAGACACACATGCTCAGTCACTCTCCAAAATAGCAAACTACTGCACAGCATGCTACCGAATGACTACCTCTACTACTGCATTGTGAGACAGCTTCCTAAATCCAGCAACACCTGGAGGCCTGGTTAACAAGCAGTGGAGGGAGCATGCTGAATCAATTATTCTTATTAGGCCCTCAGAATCTAATTAGAGACTACTCAAGGGAAGGGAAAAAACGTGGAAACTGCTAATGTGATTTTCCAATCTGGGGACTATAGTCTCCATAGCATCCGCAGCGGTGGAAACCAAGAGAGGACCTAGTACCGAGACCTGGGGGACACCAGTAGTGAGACCATGTGGTGCAGAGACAGACCCTCTCCAATGTTAATTTAAATGTACATTGCTGACTAACTGGAGGTATGTAGAGTGTCTCAGGGCACTGATCTGGGTTTTGTTGGACGGGGCATGGCTAGCCTCTTGGCCATGCCTATTGGCTCACTTAAAAGTACAAATACAATGTTGATCGAGTTCAACTCACTTCTGTACCCGCAAACACGGGTTGACATAATAGTGTCAAAAGGGTATTAACCAACCAGTTTAACGTTTGAGCTCTGCCAGACACCCGAGTCAATCTGTGGAAAAGGGTAGTACAGATGCTTAATGATATATCTACTGTAAGTATGTAGGAAATATTTCACCTTTCACCTAGGCCCTTCAACAGTATTAGTTTTAACTTGACAATACTAGGATTGTGTGTAGATGTAATGTTGCAGAGAGGGGGTGTCCACAGAGGGTTGATTTCATGCATTACATCAGCCAAACATGAGGCCCCAGGGGAGCAGCTACATAGGAACAAACACTCTACCGTCACACAGGAAATGCTCAATATGTGTGCATGTGTCTCTTTAATCTTTGATAATTCGCCCAACTCAACATAGGGCTCCCATATTGAGTTCATTCAAATGTCTCCATACATCTGAGGCATGGGAGAGCAGCAACATAGGAACCACAAACACTCTACCATCACACAGTAAAGACTGAATGTGTGCATGTGTCTCCGCAATATTTCATCATACTCCACGCAACAGAGGTAGAGTGTCCCAGATATGTTGCCTGGAATTCTTCCCCTGCATCCCGTTCCCCAGCAGAAGCCGCTAGGGAACCCTCAAGGGCCAAGTCCTCTGGAAGAACGACATCACAGCTGAAAAGGGAGATTGTTCAGATGTACATTACTCTGCAAACAGCAACTTGAGTCAATAACCACTGCTCCGTGCTTCCGCTGAGGATCCCACACAGTCCCTGATCGCTCGTTCCTCCTTCTCTTCAACCTGAATATCTACCATTGTTTTATTCATCTTGTCTATCAACAGAATCCCCACTCAAGTGGGATAGTTACCTACTTGTACTTCTTAAAGTAACTGTTCAGTGAAAATCTCACTTCTAAAAGTTAATATTCTGTTAACTCATACCCAAATAATGTTGTTGACTCATCCTATACTCGTATTTGTGGCCAAAGCATAAATTGGAGGGGAAAAAAAGAAGAAAAAAACACCTCAAACAGACTGTTTCAAATGTCATCTTCCTGAGGAGGATGAGCTGGCCAATCAGCGGTCTACTCGCCTGAATATCTTTAAGGCCCATATACGCTCACACCATTCTATTGTTAGGGTACACCCACACCATTCCAACACAGAAAAGCTGCTTTTTAACATACTTAACTTTTGGAAGGAAAACTATAACTCATATTGTAATAAATTATATATTAATGATCATATTTCATAGAAATCTGGAAACACCGGACAGTTACTTTAAAGGAGGCTACAATTGTCAGATCAACTGGGTGTCCTGCCACAAGATTGGCTTTAGCCCAAGCTAAAACTGAGTTAGGCTGAGCTAAAACCTGGGCATTAGTTTAGGTAGTTAATGCTAGTCTTCAGGTCTAAGCCGCGGTTACTCCTTAGACCTGAAGTGATTGTGTATATATATGACAAGCCCTGTCCCAGAGTGGAAGCTAAATGTGGCCTATGTACAAAGTATGAATCAAACTCTGAATCAGAGGAGGTGTAGTGACCAGATCACTGTAACTGAATATGTTAGGTGCATAACACAATCATACATACAAAAGCCACAGCTGTATGAGTTCAGCTACATTCAGCTCAGAATAGTTCCAACCTCAATCGAAAAAACAGGCAGCTGCTTTTGACTTGTGGCTTGCTCTCTGTTCTAGAGATACCCTGTGAACAGCACAGGCCTCAGTCCAACATCCTGAAACAGGTAGCTAGAGCATTCTCCCTGTCAGGCTGTCTATGGGCTGCGCTGAAGTGAAACCCCCAAGAGTATTGCAGTGCTTCCCCATCCACACTTCATATGCTTCTGACAGGAAACGCCTCAGAAGTACATCAGCTGAGGATAATGTGGTCGGTCTTTCTCAGATCTGAACCAGGCGTAAAATAAGCTGTGGACACTGGTATTTAAAGGTTTACAATCAACCGAAACGGCTTGAATGAAGAGAGAACCAGTATGACTGCTAGATCACTGCCACATGTGAACACATCATAGCCCAGGGTTCCCCAACTGGCGGCACGAGGGCCAAATTGTTTTATTTGTCCCTCCAAGTTTTCAGAGCAAAAATAAATAAAAATAAAGAGTATATATTATTTTGGGGGGCATTTTCATTGTTGGACATAAAATACTGTAAAAACACCAGGAAATCAGCTATTTTTATTTTAGAAATCTATTCCCAAGTATTCCCACGCATAATAGAGAGTACACAAATAATAATTAATAATAATTGATTGGATTTATATAGCACTTTTCTACTAATTGAGGTACTCAAAGCGCTTTACATACTCACCACATCCACCATCAATGTGTAGCACCCACCTCAGTGATGCACGGGGACCATTTTTGAGCCAGAACTCGCACCACACATCAGCTATCAGGTGGAGAGGTGGGGAGTGATGTATGCCAATTAGGAATGAGGGGGATGATTAGGTGGCCATGATGGAATGTGGCCAGGTTGGGAATTTAGCCATGACACCGTGGTGAACACCCCTACTCTTACAATAAGCGCCATGGGATTTTGAATGACCACAGAGAGTCAGGACACCCGTTTTAGCGTCCCATCCGAAAGACGGCACCCTACTCAGGACAATGTTCCCAAATGTAATCAAGGTTTGAAATGATTATGTTTTAGTCAAATATGATATATGTTTAGGCTTCATGCGGTCAGTTTGCAGTCTAAATGTTTTTTTATTATTATGTTCCGGCCCCCCGACCATCCGCTCAAGAACAAATTGGCCCGCGGCTGAATCTAGTTGATGTCCCTGTCATAGCCTAAGTTGACAGAGACACTGAGAGCCAGCAACAGCAGGGCTGTGCTGTGGTCGTCCACCACAGTAGCATGATAACTACATCAAGTATGAACATGGTGTAGACAATGACTCTTAATTGACCCTAAATGCTGTTTTTTCTGGTCCCTGAATTAATTTAAATTAAATTCAACTTTATTTGTCCCTAGGGCTATTACAATTAATGAAGTTCCCAGAATAGACCTTTGATTGAGCAGTAAATTAGTTTTACCAGGGCTGGGGTCAATTTAGAAACGGAATTCAAATGAATAACATTATGACTGAGCTACTGTATTTTAATTATATTTGAAGAGTTATTAGACTAATAGTGTTGTGTGTCTGTAGCATGGAAGAGCTCAGCTTCATCCTGAGGTATTCATTTACACTATTACCCCACACACCCATGTCTTGCTCTCAGTTTCCCAACCTATCACATCTGTCCAGCAACGACATGACACCAACCACCCCACACGTCCATGTGCACTTGTAATTGACTACATTTTGCTCTGTGAGTTCGTGTGCAAGGGAACCGAGAGGCTTGGATCCAGTTGGATCCAGTTTCCTCCAGAGCTGATGAAGTACAGATTCTGTACAACATTCTGTTTTGTGAGCTAATCTAATTTTAGTCCAAGCTCGCTGGGAATAAGAAAATAAATATGAACATTTCAAAACACACAATGTTGTCTGCAACTGATCAAAGTATGGGGGAAATCAACGTAGAAGACCGTCCTTGAGAACCTTCTCACCAAACCCAAAGTTACCACTCCCTAGGAGTCTACAGATCATATACCAACTTTAATTTGTGTAATAACACTCTCTTGTGACAGCCTTAACATTTAGTGGCTGATTTGGTTGTGGGTGCAATAATAACTGTTCAAATAGCGCTGAAATACTTCCTCTACTACAGTGTATGGAGCGACATGGGAAGTCAGTTTGTCTCAGTCCATGGTTCGTAGTCCCCTGTAGCTCAGTTGGTAGAGCATGGCGCTTGCAACGCCAGGGTTGTGGGTTCGTTTCCCACGGGGGGCCAGTATGAAAATGTATGCACTCACTAACTGTAAGTTGCTCTGGATAAGAACGTCTGCTAAATGACTCAAATGTAAAAATGTAATGATCTGTTCTAGTGTATTTCTATTCCATGGAAACCTACATACAGTACTAGGGCTGGGAATTGCCACGGACCTCACGATACGATATTATCACTATCCTTAGGTGCCGATATGTATTGCGACTCATTACTGTGATTTTATTACGATTTGATGTTCCAAACATATTGCTCACCATGTGTCTGCTACAGAGGGACAAGAGAGAGCCATGGGAAAACAAGTTTTGATCAGTCATGGAAATAAAACTGCTGAAAACAAATTGGTTCCTTATTTAAAAAGAACATGGAGAACAAGCTATGAAGGAAAAATACTGGAGTTTGGTGCAGGTACAGCCAACTAGCGCAAAAATAATATTGTCAAAACGATACACTACAATATATCATAAAAAACGAATATCCTGATATATATATATTTTTTTGTTGTTGTTGTCATTTTAGCATACGCTCTTATCCAGAGCGACTTACAGTTAGTGAGTGCATACATTGATATGTAACTTGATTCCCCCCCCCATCACTACAGTACCCTG